TACTGACAGAGTGGAATGTAAAGAGACCACAGGAGTTAATATTCTTGGTTCTGCCTCTGCTCAGTGGTTTGATCCTGCCCCTGACTTAGATGACAGCAAATGGACTTTGTTCACTAAATGTTATTGCTTCTTGGGATTGACACTCATCACTTTATTTAGAAATGTGTTACTGGATACTTTTGAGAATTCAAAACCACTTAATAGTGTGGCATAGCATAGCATGTTTTTCTTCTGTTTTTATGACAATTATTTTTATTGGACTCCTTCAGTGTATTGCTATTCTTCATTGCTGACTATGCAGAATATGCACAGTCTTTGGAGCGGATTGGATTTCACTGTAGTTTTATGCATAAGTGATAATGTAACAAGCCAACTCTTGATTCTTGAATGAAGAGGAAGACGCAGGTGGACAATGGCAGTGTTTGATCAATAGTGTTTTCTTTAACTGGTCTGACAAACCACCTCAGCTGTCCTTTTCTACTGTAGTCCACTTCCTGTACCAGATTGTGTGTTTCCCTTTTGATTCTGATTCCAGGACAGGGAAGTTAATCTGTTTGAGCACAATTCTTGTCAGTTTCCTAACCTGATAGCTCTTCATCTTTATTTTTCTCTGTGTCTCAGTGGTGGCGCCCGGGGACGTTGGTACAAGTTCAACGACAACGTGGTGGAAGAGTTTGATATGAATGATGAAACTCTTGAGTACGAGTGCTTCGGAGGAGAATATCGCCCCAAAGTCTATGACCAGTGTGAGTACAATTGACAAACTGAGATGTTCTCACAATAAATGAATGAATGACAGACAAGCTCATTTTTAATTGGGTTTTTATTTGTGCAGCCAATCCCTACCCTGACGTGCGGAGGAGATACTGGAACGCATACATGCTGTTTTATCAGAAGATCAGCGACCAGAACTCACCCGTTCTGCCCAAAAAGAGCAGAGTGAGCATCATGAGGCAGGAAGCCGAGGACCTTACACTGTGAGTCGATACTATATTCACCAGTTGAACATTTTATGATCATTTTAATAAATTAATTATTTTTCTTCACACTTGTCCCAGTTAGCAGAAGAATCTGAAGCTTCTTCTACAGCTTGACCTTTATGTTAACACGTTCATAAAACCAAGCCTTTTTATTCAGCCTCCAACTGCTCAATTAAACACATAGTTCTGTCTTTTCCAGATCTGCTCCATCCTCTCCCGATGTGTCCCCGCAATCTTCCCCGCGCCCCCCGAGGGCCAACAACGACCGCCTCACCCTCCTCACACGTCTGGTCCGCAAAGGAGAGAAGAAAGGCCTATTTGTAGAGAAGATGCCGGCCAGCATCTATCAGGTGAAGTGGAATACAACTATCCTTTAATCTCGTCACAATCATAAATTCTCCACACCTTCTTGATGGTAGTATCTGACCGTCTGTCACTTGTATAGATGGTACGAGATGAAAATCTGAAGTTTATGAGGAACCGAGACGTCTACAACAGCGACTACTTCAACTTCACCCTCTCTCTAGCCTCTGTCAATGCAGTATGTGTCCGAGTTTCCTTCTTCCTTTATTATTTATCAGCAGATTGTGGAGTAGTTTTATGTTATGACATCACTGTGCAAACCACACCGAAACATTAATGACTTTAAACCATGTCACAGACGAAACTGAAGCATCCAGACTACCAACCTATGGCCAAAGAAAGTCTTCAGCTTGCAGTTCATTTTCTTTTCCATACTTACCTCCACACCAAAAAGAAACTCCGGTAAGTGTACACACACACACTCGTAAAAAAAACATCTCTGTCAGAAGCAGTCAATACAAATGCATTGTCACGGTTTGTCCTGCAGGGTGGACACAGAGGAGTGGATGGCCACAGTGGAGGTGTTGCTGTCCAAGAGCAGTGAGGCGTGTCAGTGGATGGTGCAGTACCTGGTTGGGCCAGAGGGACGAGAGATCACCAAGTGAGTGTACTCCATTTCCTGAACTGAGTTGATGCATGGTCATCGTGTATTCATACCAAACCGAAGGGTAAATACATGTACTTCTACATGTATTTACCCTTTGGTTTTTGTACCCATATATTTTCAAAATGTGTCATGGGTAACTTTAATATTGCAGAGCAAAACCAAATTCCAACTCTTCCCCCAACATAATTGTGACTGTACCCAATTGCTGCTCACACAAGTCAACTTTACATTAGTTAGCAGGTAACAAAGACAATGCTGGTGTGGTGAATGGAAGCGATCTACTTGAGCTCTGCTGTTCTCGAACACTACGGTTGTCAAGTAATCTACAGTAGCAGTGGAGAAAACAAATTGTTTGGGTGCAGAAAACATGATTTTATTGAACCAAATCAGCTTTTCTGCTTGTGATACATCAAACATAAAAACTCTCTTTAAAAGGGCTCATCAGACTGTGAGTGCGATGGCTGCCAGAAAAAAAACAAGTGCAAAAGCAGTAAAAACTCCTGATCTAAGTAGACGTCAAACAGAGGAGCCATGAAGCATACTGTCTTGAAAATGTATTAATTGTATTTCTATAAATTTATATTTGTTTTTAAATGTAAATCTTTTTTTTACAGATGTCAATACTGAGGTATTATTTCTCATTAATATTGGTTTTCAAAAAGAATTTTCCATCATCCATTTAAAATGACTGATTTGTCCCAGTGAAGTCACATGAGCCTGATTCAGTTCCTGGAAAGTCAAACATAGAAGCACTGTGTTTTTTCTAGGAACTTAGTCTGGGTTTAATCACTGCAGCATTTCTGAGCCTGACCCAGTGATATGTGATACTACAGACTTGGCAGCTCCCACATTCTGATCAATACTCACTGAAGTATGTGGTTCAGGTCACATTATTCCACCTTGGTGAAGCTGCTGCAGCCACAACCTTCACAGTGACTCTTGGTAATTGTAGAGAATTCAGGGACTATATTTGTATGGGGATAAACTACAATTGCACAGATAAACTAATGTCACTTTGACATTTGCTGATTTTTAAGAATATAAAATTATATTTACAAAAAGGTATTTTATTTCCTGGTATAAAGAGGGCATGAGCAAAATTGTTTTGTTCCAAATCTAGTCTGATTTCCAATCCTAAAGGTTGATGCTTCTCTTTACACTTTAGGACAAAAATATGTATTTATGAATCATGGACATTTGTATTTTCCAAATTTTTTTTTTCTAAAAACTGACAAGACAAAAAAATGAGGATGAAACAGTCCAATTAGACACCACTTCATTATGTCGTCCGTCTGCCTTCCTCAGGGTTTGTCTGTTAGAGTGCAGCTTGAGGGAGGTGAGGGTGGTGGTCGCGTCCATCCTGGAGAAGACCCTGGAGAGTGCTCTACATTTTAAAGATCCAGGATTGGATAATCTGATGGACGCCCTGCTGTCCTTATTAGACAAGGACGTTCCTGAGAATGTGAAGAGCTGTGCACAGTACTTCAGCCTCTTCAGTAGCTTTGCTCAGAGGGTAAGGAAGCAGATTTAAACCACTCCTAACTCTTTCAGCTGCGAAACATAAACCTGATGTAACATCGCTGTTTTCTGTTGGTTTTGGGTTTTTTTTCTTAAATGTTCTGCCTCTCAGGGTTGTGGACCATCACAGTTGCTGTTGAAACACTCAGCTTATCGCCGGTTGCTCATTTTCCTGTTGGGAACCAACAGACAGAATAACCAGGTAGATAAGCAATTTTTTCTTCACTGAAAAAACTGTTTTTTTCCTTTACTTTTTGGTGTCTGTAATATGAATTATTGTCACTGATGCACAGCACACAACCACAAACTAACACACACAAAATGTGTCCTCTGCCTTAAACCCATCACCATGGTGATCAGGAAGCAGCTCAAGCAGAGCGTCCAGGGAGCAGTGTGTGGGGACGGTGCCGTCCTCAGTGCACCTCAGACGCACAGTGGTTTTCAACCTCTGCCCATTGGACACAAGTCCAATTCCTTAACCAGCAGGCCACCTCTGCCTGTGCACATGTATCAACATCTTTTCTTAACCATAAAGTAATGACTTTATTTGTGTTTGTGTTTTTACAGAACCGACGGTGGAGCCCAGCACAGGCGCGGGAGTTCCTTCACCTCCACAGCGCTCTGGCACTCATTACTCTGCACTCTGACATCAGTTCACAGCGGACACACGGTGACACACTTTTTTTTTTTTTAAATCACACGTTTAGTAATTCAAACAGCCCAGTGTTGAGGGTTTTCTGTGGTGTCTGACTGTTTGTTGCCTTTTCTCTCTGTGTAGCTTCCGGTGACTTTAAGCTGCAGGCGAGTAACTTCTCATCCTCCACGTCACTGCTGCCCCTCCACAATGACGTTCTGACCTCACTTTTCACTCCAGAAGGACAGCCTTACCTTTTAGAGGTAAACTACAGATAACAGTAATAATGTATTACTGGGAATCTTAATCGTCCATGTTTAAAGAGTGACCCTCTGTGTGGTTGACTTTGTTTTAACTCTTGTGCCTTTTGCATTTACCAGGTGATGTTTGCCATGCGTGAGTTGTCAGGTCCACTGTCTGTCCTAATAGAGATGGTGACCTACTGCTCCTACTGCAACGAGCCGTTCTCCCTGGGCGTGCTGCAGCTCCTTAAGGTGAAAGTTGTCACAATTAAATGATCAGTGACAGGATGGCTTTGTAAAACCTGAGTTGAATTCTTTTAAAATAAATTTACCAAATTTTCTGTGTACCTTTTTTTGGTCCAGGCCCAGCTGGAGTCGGCTCCACCTCATGAACTGAAGAACATTTTCCAGATGCTGCAGGAGCTATTAGTGAGTAGCTGTCATCAGATATCAGTCATCAGTGCTTTTAAACCATCGATCTTTTTATGGACGTGTGGCTGGTGCCTGTTGCCATCCTTGTTGCTAACCTCACTTTAATATTTCACGTCAGGTAGTGGAAGACCCACTGCAGACACAGAGACTCAAGTATGCCTTTGAGTCAGAGAAAGGCCTCCTAGGTACGTCTTAATTCTGCCTATTGATGCCATTGGATATTTAGATTTAAGAAAAGGAGAATAGCAGCTTTGTTATTCCTACAAAACGTCTGTGCTTCTTGAACAAAGGAAATATAATTCCAAATTGAAGCATGAGAAAGAAATAAAATAAATAATGACATTGGTGCAAAATTCCCTGCAATCAGTTTGTGCCTGCTGGGGGCCCCCAACTGAGGTCATCTACAGGAATCATCACCAGTGGCAATCGCGATTAATGTTGCTAATTAAGATAACAGATAAATGATCTTCATTCTGTCCTCGGTGATCTACAGTGCAGCATGTTTATCGTCAATGTCATGAGCAGACAGTCATGTGGCTTTTTCACACTGTACTTTATTTTTTTGTTGTTATTATTTATTTAAAAGGTTTTAATGACCCTGATAAATTCTGTCTTTCTTTCAGCCTTAATGCACCAGAGCAACAACATGGACAGCAGACGCTGCTACCAGTGTGTGAAGTTCCTGGTTACATTAGCCCAGAAGTGAGTGTTTACTTATGAAAGCGCATAAATTAGGTTTGGACGGGATTTAAAATTTTAATGTTGTTCTGTGATGGAGGTCCAGGGAATATACAGCCGTCAGCCATGACGTTAACCTGCCTGATAACACGGCTCCACCTACAGCTGCCAAACTCAACACGCTGTGATTTAGTGTGAATTCATATAGGTATCGTCATTACTTCAGATCAGACCACACGTGCCAGTCTTCACTCCTCACATGCATTAGTGAGACTTAGCGGGCCGTGGCCATGTCACTCCCCACGGTACGACCCACAAGAGCTGTATTATTGGAGATACTGTGACCCAGTCATCCAAGCTTCACAGTCAGACCCTTGTCCAACTCACTGACGTCCTCCGTCTGTCTCTTTACTTCTGCCTCTAAACACATTTGACGATGAAGTGTTCACTGGCTGCCTACTGTATTGAGCACACCAACAGGTGCAGAGCTGAAGAGATAATCAGTGTTATTCATTTCACATGTCAGTGCTTGTAATGTTACGGTGGACCAGCATTTGTAAGCCTGATCTGTGGTGTGTGGATTTCTCTCCTCCAGGTGTCCTCCAGCCAAGGACTACTTTAAAGACTTGTCTGGTCACTGGAGCTGGGCAGTGCAGTGGCTACAGAAAAAGGTGGGCTGATCTGACAGTGTCAGTTCATATTTCATTAGATTTGGAATACTTATTTGAAAGACAGTAGACAGTTGACCTGGGAAAGAGGAAAAGACACAAGATCTGTGTGTTAGATTTTACAGTAGGATGACAGTCATCCCTGGTGTCTGTGACACATGATGTGTTTGTTTGTTGGATAGAAAGTCTGACACAACAACTAGAGTTTTAAATTCCTTTTAGTTTTTGTGCTAACATTTGATGTCTTTGTCTTTATTCTCAGATGACAGAGCATTACTGGACCCCTCAGAGTAATGTCTCCAACGAGACGTCAACCAACAAAACCTTCCAGCGTACCATTTCTGCACAGGTTTGAATCCATCCACAGTATTACAACAAATACAGCGATAGCAAGTCACAAAGAGATGGAATTTAAACCACAGACCCTTGATTAACTAATTAACTGGCGGGCCAAACTATAACAAAATAAATATCAAATGATAATGATAGGCAAAAATGTGATTAGGTCCCATTCTGTTTGTCATCATTAGACTGAGAAGATTTCTTCAGTCCCTCAGTTAAAACTTACAGTCCATTAATCTTACACATATAAATGTTCTTGCTCTTTTTGTTTATATTCCCTCTGTGTGTGTTTGTGTGTGTGTGTGTGTCTGCAGGATACCTTAGCCTATGCCACAGCGCTGTTAAATGAGAAGGAGCAGTCTGGCAGCAGTAACGGCTCGGACGGAAGTCCAGCAAATGAAAGCGCAGACCGCAGCCTGCGACAGGTAGACTCTGCTCATTGGAAGTGACTTTTGTACTCTCTGGTTACAACACAACACAACACAGACCCACTTTATGCAACAAAATATAGAAATGGAGCGTCTCCCTGGTTTGTGTCAGGAGCTTTGAAGGCCGACCGTTCCTTCCCACGCCTGCTCCATTTTTCTCTAACTCCTGCTGAGCCTGTGTTGAACAGACAAACGGCAGATGATTGTCACAGTTGTTCTGGCACAGATGTGAAAATACTGACTCTGTTGTTGAGTCATTTGAAGTAACCCACTCTCAGGGTCTTTTTGCACATATTACACAGTTGTTTCTTCTTTGGTAGAATTGAATGATTTAGTAGTGACAAAAAAGTCAGGGTTGTCACACAGTGGTTTTGTTTGACTAAAGTGGATTCCTAGCCCAGATCAGATTATTTGATGTGAAAAGTGAACTTTTCACAGATCAAGGTATCAAGATCAGGTATCGGAAAAAAGTGGAATAATTTGTTAAGTGTGGGTTTGGCAATGTAGCCAAATATCCAACTAGACAATCCAGATAATAAGTCAAACTATATTTAATACGATTAAACACATTGTAGCTGTGAATTAATCACTAACAATCAATATTGTTTTAAAAAAATATTAAAGAAAATTAATTATTACTGGAACAGATTGACAATAGCAGATATGAGAACACAAAAGATTCTGAAGTTCTCAAAATTTCTGTCCTTGCCACACACAAAAAATCCATTTGCAGAAATATTAATTTAAAAGCACAATAAAGGAGTTAGGGTGAACTAAGGGACAGACGTTGACTTTCTTTGTCCATGGCAGATAATCAGTAAGTTTATGTCAAAATAACCACAATCTTCTGTCTTTCAGGGGTCAGAGTCTCCCATGATGCTCGGCGACTCGAAGAGTGATCTGGAAGACGTGGATCCGTAGCTGCTCTCTAACCAGCAGGATGCCTCTGACGGAGTGGCGGCACAGCTGCGGGCAGCCAGTGGAAAAGGCTGCACTCTGCCTCTGATTGGTCGGAACATTCTGGGACTAAACAACATGCCAATCAGAACAGAAAACTCACTCCCCCTGTTGCCACGGCAACGCAGGAGCTATGAATAAACCATGAACGACTTGCCGTGGTGATGATGGGTCCGCATCAACGCTGAAGGCAGCATAAGTTAAGACCAGTGGAAAAGTGGCAAAAGAAAAAAAGAACCCTCCACAATCATGGATGACTTCAGTTGATCTTTTTGTTCATTCATTCACTCAGAATGACAGAAAGCAGTGGGATGTGTTTGGGTTGTGTTTTAAGAATTTCTTGGTCATATTTGCCAATGTATCTACATAAACATATTGTACAAAAAAAATTGTTCCATAGATGTGACGTCCAGTGTAAGATATTTTAAAGTCTCCTGCGCTCTTTTCTCAGCCATGCAATTCATGAGAGGACACAGCGGTCACTCTAGAGGAACTGTCTTACACACACACTCACACACGCACTTGTACAGGAATGCATACACAGGAACACTTGGGAGAGGGCGGGGTTAAGCATGCACTTTATAGTCCAGCCCAGTACAGCGGTTCCTCTGGAGACCCTCGTGTGCCTGTGCCCTCTTTTCTTTTTCTTTCTTTTTTTTTGTTTTTTTTTACAGCTTTTGTTTTCAGTGCCACTCACTCAGAAACACAGGAGCCCTGACACACGTCCTGTGACCTGACCTTTGGTCCCCTGGTGACCAGTGTGGCCAAAGGGGACACAGTCAAGAGTCAAGTCTGTCCTAGAAAAGAGGACAGATCCAGGCCATCAGCAGGTCTGGCAGAAGCAGTGCTATGGTCGGCACTTTCTCCTCTCCTCCTCCGTGCTTCCTGACAGGAAGACCGACCTGCTGGATTTTTAATCCTCACATTACTGTGTTTTATTTCCTTTGACTCTGGATGGATTGATTACTGGAGAGGATGCTTATTGGGACTCAAGCCTTATGCAAGAAAAGCTGATCTAGATGTGCACAGATCAGCCATGGTGGGCCGTCAGTGCCAACTGAGTCAGAGCTCAGCAGCATGTTTTATTTTTAGGTGCCAAGGCAACAATACACAAAGATAAACAGACAAATGTTCTTCTGAATATGGTACAACATTCACTCCTCCACTGCTCTCACAGTCACAAAGAACAGGTGCTCCTTGTCTCGCTGTTACCTCTGCTTTATCAGGTTTTGATTCTTTTGCCTTTTTGCTCTTTGTTTCACTCACGGGAAACGCACTCACCCACAGGAGCCGGACACAGATGTAGCTGTAGTTTCACTCTGAACCATCACCTGTGCGTCTGTAGTCGCTGCCTCAATCATCGGGAGACTTGAAGTGCCTTAACCTCCCGACCTTTTTTTCCCCCTCTGTGCCGCTGTACCGTCATCTGTCCGAGGAGGTGTGTCCACCTCTCCTTCTCCTCACTGCACCAAATCGTCTCACTGTAGAAGTGCGACGGGGCTGTTTGACTCCTGTTACTCCAACGTCGCACAGGGAGGATTTTCTCTGTGTGCTGAGTTCAAGGACTGTTGGAATGTGTGTTTTGGAGGAGGCTGGAGGTGTTGGGCTTCATCTTGAATGAAACAGGGTTTAGGTGACAGGACAGAGCATGGGTGGAACTTCAAATGCTGCTCGTCTTCCCTCTGCCCTCAAGCAGAGACATTTCGTAGATAGGCGGTTCACACTTAGCTAGTTTAAAAAAGGCCACACACACACACCCACACACACACACTTTCACTTCTGAAGACCCACATGTTCATCAGCTTAGGTCTCAGCTTTAACGGGTGAATGTTTACAGTGTGAGGACCTAAGAAGCTGTCATGCAAAACGCTTTTCTGTCAACATGTGGTCAGTCCACTGACGCTCCACATGTCTCTCTTCTTTCCCACTCTCTCACTTGATGTGAAGGTCACTTTGTGCTCCCCAGCACATTTGCATGTGTGGCAGTTAGTGGTGGTGAAGTTTGTCTTTTTTGTGGGTCAGAGATAAGGGAAGAAGAGAGAGATAAAAAAAAACCTCCATGTAGTTTGCTGTCGTGTCTTTTGGTCATTTCCATTTGCTGTTACAATCACACACCCACCAGTGTGGCTGGTAACGTGCTGTTTAATGGAGCTCCGCCCGCTCTGACATGGCCACGGCAACGTGGTTCACAATCACGTGAAAGTCCCTGCCTGTTCTGTCCAATCACTGCATTTACACCAGAGTCTTTATTTTATTGTTGGGGTCTGGGGAGGGATGACGAAGAGTGTGGGTGGGGATCAGCATCTCTACGGGTTTTTACTGTAAGTCAACTTTGAAAAATCACGTCTGTCATCACAGGATTCTGTAATGCATGTTAAAACGTCATTTTTAATTTGTACATCAGAGTTTGATTAAGGGGAAATTTGATATAAAAATAAACTGGAATGCAAAATGGTTCTAACATTTGTTCTTACTCCTACAAACTGCTGGTGTTTCCAGTGTCTCATCTGCAATCAAACACAATTAGCTACAGACGATCACTCCTGCTAATCATCCTGTCTGCTGCGTTCATTCAATTTGGCTCAGCCATGAATCAACCAGGGGTCATAGGAGTTCAAATCCCAATTCTGTAAATTAGATGAACTGTCAAAACTGGATAAATGAATTCAACCTTTAGGAAACACAATTAGCAAGTGTTCAGCTCTCATTATATCACATAATAAATCAAGGATGAGCAGGATTCAGATTTCCAACATGTTCCTCTTAACAAAGCTGTGTACTGTGACCTGGATACATGGTGTGTGAACAACAATCATCAGATGACAACGTCGTTGACGTCGGACTGTTCTGCCTCTGCAGGGCTTCTTACTGCACAACCATCCGTCTGTATGATTCGATAACAGCCAGAACTGAAGCTGAACCTGTGAGACAGTTTGCTGTGATTATTATTGTTGCTGTCAAGACTATTTTCTCCAGTTACACTTCACCTGTCCCTCTGTCCATACACTGCATTGGAGAGCTGTGAAAAATACAGTGAAATGAATCATTTCCTTCAAATCTCTCTTTTTGTTTTTTTTAGAGCTTGACTGACGTTCACCTACTGGTTCAGTAATTAAGGCTGGCAATCAGACTGATTACACTGAACTGCTGCTGCTGCTGCTGCTGAGTGATTCAGCTGAAAACATCTGTTTCCCCAGTCCTCTACCATGTTACCAGGGGTCTTTTTCAAGGTATGTATTGGTTTTAAGATCTAAAAAATGACTTTATGGATGTTACACCTTAATTGTGACTTTTGTCCAAATATTAATTAAATGACTTCCTTGTAATCACTTATTGTCTTAGTCTGATGCAGTAGTACCTATTAACTGTGTTTGTGCTATAGAAGATCCATATACTTTTTTAGTGAATTTGCATTTTTATGGCAACCACTAAGAATCACTCCAAACTTCATTTGTTTTCAAAATCTTTAATGTTTTTTTACACGTGAAAAAAAATAAAAATAATATATATATTTATGTATATATATAATGCTAGCAATTGTCTTAAAAAAACATGGCCTCCTCTGGAGAAAATCTGTCATTGAAAGCCTTTTATCTGACTTTTTCTTTTATTTAAAAGTGTAAACTTAAAAACAACATCAGTAAGATAATTTTATATTTCACATTAACCTAGAAAAGGAATACATGTAATGTTTAAGTTTAAGCTAACAAAGAAAATATTTGAAAAGAAAATGCCTGGCTTTAGATAATACATTTTCTTAAAGACATTACAGCTCCATAATACTACATAGAATAGTTTTTATTGTCATTGTAACACTGGGGTACAACAACATCGAGGAAATGTAAGCTTACAAATGCTAGCTTACATTACATGTCCCTTTCTCATGTAGTTTCTATGGTGACATTAAAGTATTTGTTTGAAGTATACTGATTCAAAACATGACCAGGGTACATCTGTAAGCCTAAAACCCCTCGCAGTACTCAAAGTATTTGATATACTGCAGGTTTTTCTCACACATGGATTAAAGCACTGCACCACGATGAGTGAAGCTGATGTAAGACAGGGAAATTCACATTGTTTGACACCTTCTCTGACTGGTTTTTAAGCTGTAGCCTCCACACTTGGCGAGCTCACACGACAGCAAACAGCCAACGATGTGACCACCTCAGATCCGGCGGCGCCGTGGACATGGCAAACTTCGCCCAGAGCGAAAGCCCCGAGGACACCAAAGGCCTGAGAGACAGCACTGCAGTCTGTCATTGTCCAACCAGAGAGACAGGACACCTCCACCTGCACCAGAGCAGCATTTACATGAGGACACTAGGTTTGAAGGTTTGTTATTATGTCTTCATAATACTCACATATTCCTTATCGGCTGATGTGCTGCCCACTAGGTGGCACTCCAGAGACGGAGAGTGGCAGCACACAGCATGTGACGTAACTCCATCTCTGCCCACACAGCGCCTTAAATCACTGACCTGAAGGTGGGAGTTGGACAAGACCTGAGCAGTGGACGGAGACGTACATCCTACAGAAGACAGAGGTGCGTAGGTGAAATATACTGTAAGGTCGTTCCAAGATAATTAGCAATGGACTCTTTGTTTATAGCTATCAGAATGACAGTTAATATTGGAACTTAAAATAGTTGAAAGATCATTGAAAGTATGAAGAAAAATATATTGGTCCGATCATTGAAAGTATGAAGAAAAATATAATCATTTGGTCTTAAAAGAAAATAAATTTAATACAAGAAAACAACAGTACTTTCATAGAACGATTACCAGAGTAATTCTGTACTTGACAGGAAACGTCTTAAATATGGCAAAACACTGGAACAAAATAACCTACAAAAATGTTTCAAAACATATATAGTTTTACATGACACAGAATCATGTCAGTCAATAATTAAAGACAGTTGAACGTGGTTACCACAAGAAAATATGAATGATCAAATAATATATCTACAGCATGACATGATGTTATGATTATAATCATATAATACAAAATGAAATTATTTAGAATTGTTGTTTTTCATGTAAATATGTGAATTTACATAATGCCAAGCCATATATTTCTTAATAAAGGGGCATTTGGTTTTGAGTTCCTTGGTGCTGCTCCCCACTACACAATGTTGAACTTCACCATGGACTGTGGAGGACACACAGTACACACTTTCATGACTATACAGTAAATTTGTTACTTTAAATTCTCTGTAGTGACAGAAAACTAAAAATGGAAAAGCATAAACTTATTTTTAAGGAAGGGAATGAAATATTTTAATTTATACTGAATTTATATGTCCCAATTAATGATGACGATGTTACAGATCTTTAATTGGTAAAAAAGTCTTCACCTGATGTAAGAGCTTCTGGAATTTTCTGCACTGATTCAGTGACACGTTTCAAACCTAAGCTCATTTACTGTTCATCATAACATTTTAAGTTCTAAGTGCATTTTACTTCATTATCCCTTTAGATCGTCAACAGGAAAATGTGACCGACCAGTCAGGGTGTGTTTGGGGTCCACACACTCAGCGTCCTTCCCTGGCTCAGGGCTGGCATTTGCCTGACATCGCAGGCTGCTGATGGCACAGCAACGGGCCACAGAGAACACACCGTTTCCCCTCGGACCGTTGAAGGCAACACACTCCATCTGCTGATCCTGCATCTTTAAGAGAGCGGCTCCTCAGGTTAGGATGACTTATTTACTACGAATGTTTTTATATATTAGTCATTGGTGAGATTTTGAGAAAATACAATGGTCACACAGTTTGCTCTTCTTCTCTCACACATCCTTCCTATAATATAATATAATATAATTTAATAATATTTTCCAGACACACCACCATCACAGTACTGTGTAGGCTTCAGTGATAATATTTTTATATTATCCAAAGACAGTATGAATGAAGAGCAGGGAGTACTTTAATTTATTACAAACAGCGTGGAGTGTGTGGGTGTATATTTGTTGACGTGGTGATTGGCCGCAGTGACCTAAAATATAAAAACCTGGTTCCTGGTAAAATCCCATCCTGGTGGGTTTTAAAATACAGCTGTGTGAGTGAATGACTTTAATGATGGTGAGGCAGTCGCACAAAATGGCAACAATTGGCCTCAGTAACACTTTTCTATTGCCATTGCTGCGATGGATGATTGAGAAAATAAGAACAGACTTTTTTGAACTCACCATGATTGTTTCTCCATTATGAACACCGTGTGGTGCAAAGCTCTTACAGCCCATCATCTCCTCCCCCTGACGACAGCGGCTGATGGCTCTGTCACTGGGGGCCAGCCCTGACCTCTCTGACCACACGGACCGACACAGCAGCTCCTCACCTGTGTAATGTGTTCAAATCAACTTTAATCACGTAGGGTTGCGTGTGTCTCTGTATGTGATCTGTATGTGATGTGTGTATGTGTATGTGTGTATGTGTATGTGTGTGTGTGTGTGTGTTCCACTGACTTGTGCTGATGGCAGGAGGCATGGCTGCCACCAAGTTTGGAGTAGTGAGACGATGAGTGTCAGACAGAGGGAGCAGGTTGATGGTGTTGCTGATGGAGTAATGCAGCATCATCTGCAAGACCTGCACCGGTGACAGGTTCTGATTGGACGACAGGATCACTGCTGCTACACCTAAACAAACACGCAGGAATTAGCACACGTTTCTTAACATGTATTGTGAGTATGCGTGCATACGTGCACGTGTTCGCACCTGCAGCGTGAGCAGCAGATTGTGAGGTTCCACTCCTGGTGGTGAAGCAGGTATTACAGTCACTGCTGGCACTAACGATGTCATTGCCAGGGGCGAAGAGGTCAACGCAGCGGCCAAAGTTGGTGCCTCCTGCCCCCTGTGACATGAGCTGGTCCTCTGCATTTATTGCTCCCACTGTAATGACCTTCACACGGAAGATAATGTAAAGTTAAAGTACTTATACACAGTACTTTTAAACATCAACAGATCCACAAAGTTGTCAGTGTTGCTATGTTAAAATATGAAAAGACTGTAAATTGCTGCATTGATCAAATCCATGCCCTGCCTTTTATCAGAACAGTGACGGTCACCACTGAACTGAAGCTGACTGCCATCATAACTGTCTAAAGCCTGCTAATGCTCACTGCATTTGTTGAGGCCACTAATAATACCCAAGAGCCTTTTATATTTTCTGACTTCATAACAGATTTCATAACATCATTTCAAGGTTATTCAACAGAAGTGAGTCTATTCATGTGCATGTTTTACAGAGTGAATGGAAAATAAAGGCAAAGAAGTTAAATACTTGATGTAACTCAGAGTAAATACTCTCTGTATTTACACAAAATAACCAAATTTTAAACACAGTTTTGTCTTGTACCTTGTCATGGTACAAAAATCATGCCTACAAATTAGCCTACTACTGTTGAAGTTGGGCTGCACTGCTACAAATAGGAGACTTGATATCGTGACCATTTCCTGGATGTAGCTAATAATACCACAGCTGTTGTGACAGCACTGTGTCTAACAGTCAGCTTCAGTCAGTGTGAAGGTGGGCCAGAACAGGACGCAGACAGGATGAGTGATGGCCTCTCGTTTCCATCGGTGCTAGTGTGGCCTGTTGTAATGTCGTTTCTAGGCTCCTCTGACACCAATGACTATCTGTGGCTCACAAACCAAATTGAAAACAACGAAGTAACCTCGGGCTCTGAGGCGGGTGAGTAAAGACAGGCGTCGTCTCTGTAATTCCCCGCGGCAGCGATGACCACGGCTCCTTTTGACACCATGTCCCGACAGGCTGTGTTCAATGATCGACTGAAGCCACCAACGAAAGGTAGAAGAACGACCACTGCGTTCATCGCATGTTTATTTGTTCGAATGTACTCTAGCCCTGGAAGAAAAATGGAGAAAATATGTCAAGTACCAAAGTACAATCGCTCAAAAAAAAAAAAAAAGGTTGTCTGTGTGCCCCCGCCCTCCCCCATCGACAGCTGGGATTGGCTCTAGCTCCCCACGACCTTGAATTAAGTATAAATTGGTAAAAGATGGATGGGTTGCTAATGTACATACTATAGCACTGAACTCTATCAACAGGTCTTTAATTGCTCCACAGTACCACCTGCAGGGGTGGAAGGTGAGCTACGTGCTTGCACTTTACACATTATTATTATCTATAATGTATAATATATTGTATATAATATATTATATATAATATAAATATATATAATATATATAGTGTAGGATAATATATAGTATAATAATTATATTAATAATATTATTATACACATTTTCTATTATCAAAGTAACTACCAGAGTACTGCAAACTGTATATTTAAATGCTTTGGCTTTCGGCTGTTTTGGATACATGTATTGTAAGCATTGATCCGTTCAATGATCGACTGAAGCCACCAACGAAAGGTAGAAGAACGACCACTGCGTTCATCGCATGTTTATTTGTTCGAATGTACTCTAGCCCTGGAAGAAAAATGGAGAAAAAATGTCAAGTACCAAAGTACAATCGCTAAAAAAAAAAAAAAAAGGTTGTCTGTGTGACCCCGCCCTCCCCCATCGACAGCTGGGATTGGCTCTAGCTCCCCACGACCTTGAATTAAGTATAAATTGGTAAAAGATGGATGGGTTGCTAATGTACATACTATAGCACTGAACTCTATCAACAGGTCTTTAATTGCTCCACAGTACCACCTGCAGGGGTGGAAGGTGAGCTACGTGCTTGCACTTTACACATTATTATTATCTATAATGTATAATATATTGTATATAATATATTATATATAATATAAATATATATAATATATATAGTGTAGGATAATATATAGTATATATATAGTATATTAAATATTATTATACACATTTTCTATTATCAAAGTAACTACCAGAGTACTGCAAACTGTATATTTAAATGCTTTGGCTTTCGGCTGTTTTGGATACATGTATTGTAAGCATTGATCCAAGGCATGCTGGGTTTCTGCAGACATACTGTATGTAGGAGTTTGGGGAGAGTCCTACCAGCCAGAGCTCCTGATACTGTTCCTTTCCCTTGACAGTTGAGCACACGCACCAGCTTCACAGATGTGTCACGAGCCACACCAGAATCCAACCCACTCACCACCCCAGCGATGTGTGTGCCGTGACTGTCGCACTGACTGCTCTGCACAGGAGAAACAGTCGGATGACGACGTGTAGAGACGCAGATGTCGTGTTGTAAAAACCTACGTTTTCGTCCGTGTCAAACCTGTCTGTGATTCCTGACTCCATCCTCCTCGGGGATGTTGCTGAAGTCAGTGATCACAACTCGTCCGTCAATTTCCCTGTGAGAATCCTGAACGTGGCCATCCATCAAAAACACCTCCGCCGTCCGCCCTTCATCTACAGGGGACAGAAAGTCACTGTTGATTTATCGTCTGTTTAATGTTTAGCCTTAGTTTCTTCATGCTGAGAGGAGACAAACTCACTGGGTGGTTGGTATGTTCCATTTTCAGATGTGCTTCCATGGGGCTGCAGTAACCGCTGAAGATTCCAGGGTGCGCTCTGAGCAAAGATGGAGGAATCCTCTTCGATGTAGTGCACATGAGGGAGCTTCAAAGCCTTACATGAAGAAAGGAAAGGCATAAGTTCAAAAGAATCTTTATTTTCACTCACCTTAGTAAAAAGCAAAAATCAAACTCATTCAAGGGCTGAAAGTCTAAAGCAGGGGTCTCAATCCTGGCTCATGGACCACTTTCAGCCCACACATCATCCAACTGCAGCCTGCAACTGACTGTCAGTATGAAGTTCATTCTGTCAAAACATATATTTGTTTTGTTTTTTTCTGAAGTGTGCGGAGATACTGTACCAGGTGAACCACGTCGCTGCTCATCTTGACCAGAAAGCCGTGCAGAGCTCCAGAGTAGGTCTGCAGAACCTCCAGGGGGAGTCTTCTCCTGGTTGCCCTGGCCTTTAACCTCTTGATGGTCTTCTGGACGTGAGACTCGTGTGCTTCTTGTTGCAACATGACCAGATACTGACCAGGCATACGCCATGCTTCCTGTGGAGACAGTGAAACCAGGCTTAGGAGAGGTAAGGACGATGTGTAGATGTTTGTGATTGGTCGTGCTCAAAAGGTGAAATTACAGTATGTGGCATGATATGTTCGGTCAGAAGAGAGTGGTATCACAAGTCCTCATCGCAAACTAGGCCCACAGTGGGAATCACTAACAAAATGCTCAAGGGGTTAATCTTATCCAATCATATTTCGATCAAACTTTTAAGATTTGACTCTAAAAGTCTATTTATACAGTATACACACCCTATGTACTCCAAGTACAAAACTCACAGTCCAAAATGTTTAGGAATACATTAATGGATCATTTTTGTTTTCTGTATTAATATATAACATTATATTAAAATTAATATTATATATAATATGGTTAATCATTTTTTTAAAAAAATCATCATTTGACTGTATTACTAGAAATAAAAAATAAAATCTGTGTATTCCAGTAATGCAGTTGCGTTCCATTAGGGGTCCGCGTACCCTTGGTTAGAAAAAAATGTTTTAGAACTCGTTCGTTTTCAAATTAGTGCGGATTTGGATTTTCGCTATGGAGTTATTATTTGGCTCCGACAGAAACCAGCGCTAATGACGTTCATTAATTGCAGACTTAAGTCTATAAATATACAGAGTTAAATCTTTCCAAAAAGAGACGAAAACCAAGTGGAACCGGAATATTCGGAGAAGATGCGTTCAGGCTCCTCCGAGATAACTCTCACCTTGTTGCACCTGAGGAATTCGGCAGCAAATTCAGGTCCGTCTTCGGTTCGAGTCCCATCCTCCTGTGTCAGACCTAGGGTCGTCCCGTCGTCCTGGACAAACTCTGGAGCGCTCCCGCTCAGAGATGCGCACACACAGAGCGTCCAACTGATCCAGACAGAGATGCGCCGCATTCTTCACACCTCTGCGACTGTTTCCACTCAAATAACTAGGATTGACCGGTGAAAGACACAAACTAACGGGTGCAGGGTGTTATTCCAGCCTCAGGTGTCCAGATGATCTGTCTTCGTCATGTGCCGTTCTGCACCCAGAGATTCCTGCACCAATCGATTGTAATTTTTGGGGGGGGAAAGCGCATGAAGAATTGATTGTTATATGTCAAGGCGGGGACTGGTGACGTCTCCGGGGCTCACGCCACCGCTTTTGTATCGAATGATTGTCCTCCGTCAAAAACACCTCTTACTGCGGAGGAGTCATGTTTCATGCTCCTCAAACCTCCCTGGAACTGCGAGAGAGACCAAGAGAGACCGGGAGAGAGAGAGAGTTTGAGATGAGTGTTGATGCAAACATGAATAATGATAATATACAGAGTCAGCGTCAGTATGTGTGACTACAAAGTTAGTTTTCTGGTCGAACTTGATGCTGATATGGAGTCTCAGTATTCAGGAAGATTCGTTGAAACAAACTTAGACTCAACTTTGAATTTTCAGTGAGCTTTTGTCAGTGCAATACAATTTTTTAAAAATCTATGTTTTATAGAATAGAATAATCTATGTTCAAGAATCTCTATGTTGCTTTATTAATGAACATGATACGTTAGACAGAGATTTACACTCAGGGATTCAAAGCCTTTGAAGTCGAGTTTAGACCACCTATGTCAAACTTGAGGCCCGTGGGACAAATCCAGCCCTCTGCATCATTTTATGTGGTCCACCAGAGCTTAACATGCATATGGTTGTCTTAAAATAAGAAGAGAATAGAATAGAATGTAGAGTTTATACACTTAGTTTATACTCGTGAACATTTTTAAAAAAAAAATACAAAGTTGTTTACTTTGTAAAAATATCTTGCTACGTATTAAACTTGGACATATTTTAAAACATAATTGATTGACTAAAAAACAGACATTTGCGTTCAAACAGGTCATTGTAATGTAACTGTGATGATGTCATCAGAGGAATGTTGACCAGTACAGAAGTTTAGCACTGCATGAAGCAACGACTGTGACTCACTGATTTAGCTGCGGACACAAACCAAATGTGCTTCGCTAGTTAAGGTAACGACTCTCCATTAGACATTAGTATGAAAAAAGTACGCCACCTCCTGTTTACCTAGGAGTAAACATGATTATGTCATTATTATTATAACAATTTTCTGATAGGTGTATGGTTATTGACCTTCACGTGTCATATTTTAACTGTTAGCTCGTTAGCTTCATTTACAAGAACCATCAGCCTCTCTGTGTCTCTCTCTCTCTCTCGCTGTCCTGACTAAAGTCCACCCTCAGTAACATTATGGGGACAAAAATGAGTCTTAATGGACTTAATGTTTGTGCGTCTCCTTTAATAAAAATCCAATCCATTGTGCAGTTGTATGTGTGTGTGTGTTAGAGAGAAGGTCACTCACCAGGACTTATATGGTAAATGTTGCCATCTTCTGGACCTAGACTGCAATTTTGTTTACATTCCCCTCAAATTGCATTGGTATCAAGTACAGCAGACGGTAAAGATGGGATGGTTGTCATGTGATGAAGATGAATATGGATGTAACTGAATGTAGCCACACATGGACCCTGTCGGACTGAGGCAGGTTGTTAGAAACACTAATGTTAGAATTCATATCAAGACGTCAATAAATGGGGTAATTAGCACAAGTGCTTTTTGTGTCAATTATTAATCTGTTTGAAGATCAATCTATTATCCATCCATTCATTTATTTAGACCTAAAGTCTAATATTCCTTAGAATTCAAAGGACTAAAATGAATTCTCCGACAATGACCAAAAGATGTGAAAAAGGTTTAATTTGTTTTTTAATGTTAATTACATTGACTATGATTCCAAATAAAGTCTGTGTTTCACATGGTATTGTGTCATTCACAGCACAGACTCCCTGGATTGTCTCCGACCAGGTGCATTGTTGGACAGCTGTGATACTGGCTCATCTGGGCTTTGGAAAGGAGTCTGTCGTTTCCTGGACGCCGGTCATTGACATCCAGTAGAACCACAGGTGGCCTAAAATGAAAATGAGAAGAGGAGGTACTTTTATTTCTCACATTTTAAGCCGTACTACCTTCTACTCCTAATAGCTAAGGCAGTAGTACTAGTTATGACACAGGAGTCTACAGTACAACTTGTTTTTTCAACCATAAATCATTCCACCCTTCAGGGCTCCAGTGCTTGGATTTAATGCGTCCCCTGACAGCAGCTCATTTAGATCTACAGTACTTCAAGCCCCAACTAATGCTGTTTTTGAAGTTTCTGGACTTGACAGTTAGCTCAGCTCTAAAACGTTACATTCTACTGTTCATTGGCTCAACTAGCCAACCGATCAATTACTAATACAGTTTATAGTAAATTGTATTAACTGTACATTATATTTACCTAAATGTCGAAAAATACCTGATAATGTACACAGTGCCACGGTCATTAGCATGTACCGTAGCATCGCTATCATTTTTGCTTCTTTTTTCAGTACTGTTAATAAAATGAGGGTGATATGTTTGCTGTAGGAGAATATGTCCACCAGGGGACAGTAATACAACTTAAAAGACACAGTGCAACTAAAACCCAGATAAGATGTGACAAAACAGAGTTAGCATGATTAGCATTACATTGCAGTTTTGACATAATTTGAGGCAAAAATTCTGAGCAAAATGTTTTTAAAATGTTTGTCGGAAAATGTTATTTGAACAAAATGCCAAATCACTATCTTGATTGGCTTTAAAAGTCTTGGAAACTGCCCCTGCTGGCAGGTAATGGCACTGTACCCAGAGTTGTATTTCTGTGTGGTTTCATGAGTCTCTTTTTACAACTCAAACATGCAAAGATTCCTGGTCTGGGCTGCTTCCACAAGTTTAATTATTTATTATATTTTCTAGTATGTCTAGTATGAGTCAACGTTTTTACCTCCAAAATTGAACAATTGTGAGATCAGAGCATAATAAAAAAATTGGACCACAGTTAAATTTGAAAGCTGTTTAAACAGTCAATCTAGCTCCATTGCACTGTTTTCTTTTCCTCAACAAAAGGAATATTAGGTTGAACTCTAGTGCAGTCTTTAGATGAATCAAAGACGCTGGTTGTTACCTGGTGACATGGAAATCCCCCAGAAAGAGAAAGAATTTTTCCAATCAATCGTCAGTTGCAGAAGTGTTTAAATTAAAATGGAGAATATAAACATCAGTTTCATTATAGACTTTTTTTTTTACTAAGAGTTGATCCAGTTGAGTAATTGAAGTTTTAAATCCATAGATACTAATGAAACTGATTTGTTGTACAAGAGGATGACAGGGCAGCACCGTCTAATCTCTGCCTCCGCCTATGATACGTCTCTATGAGTCAACTTCCACTTTCTTTAAAAACACTTCCTCTTCCATTTATACTTCATATCCTCACAGACCTCATCCTCCTCCTCCTCTTCCTTCTATAGCACCAGAGAAAAACACTGCTGATATCGCTGTGTTTTCCTGGTACACGATGACTAGAAAAACCACAATGTAATCCAGCTCCCAATGATCCACCCACTTATCCCTGGTCCATTAGGGCAGTGTGTGTGTGTGTGTTTATGTGTGTGTGTGACTACCTTTTATCCTCTGCTGCAGAATGAGCCTCTGGACATTTCTCCTGAACCTGAGCCAAAACGACCTGACAAACACATGCTGTCCATTAACAAATTCTTTCAACAATTTCTTCTTTTACTTTTGTTTCCCATTCCTTCTGTCTGTACCTCATATTAACGCAAACTTAAGAAAAAAATAATCTGAGGTATCAGTAATCTGGTATTTTATTTTCCTGACTTGGAGCTCAACCTTAAAGTTGGCTTAAAGTATAGTTGCCCAGTTTATACTCTCTCAAGTATAGTATATAGTATAGAGTACCTACCTTAGGGTAGCACTGGCACAGGCTCCACGTCGTCCCTAAACACACCATGGCAACTCCCAGGATGCACATGGTTATGTAGATGTGCGGCCGCTCCTGACTCATGACAAAAAGGCCCACAGCCACCACACACAGGCCGGCCACGATCAGCCCGTATCTGTATGGTTTCCCCTCCACCATCGCTGTGTTTGCTGCTGTGTGTCAGGGCTTGAAGGAGAGGCTGGAGAAAACTCCACCAGGGTTCCACTCTGCTGCCTATTACTGCCTGCAGACAGCCTGCCCGGGTCAGGTATAAAATTGCAGGTGTGTTCCTCATACTGTAGGTCACCTTGGTGAGAGGTGCTGGTGAAAAGGAGACTCATAACTTTGGCTTTGAACAGCCATTAGCTGAGTGTGTGTTTATATTTGGGAAAAAAAAACTTTAAATAATTCAGCATTTCCTGACCTCTCTGCACTCTACTTGTTTAAATGAAGATGTTTTACTTCTAAGATAGACAGCACCCACAGAGAGGCTAGTCATTAATGTCACTTTAATGGCGTAATCACAGCACAAAACTATCAGTGGAAATACTGCAAATAGTGTGTCGAAAGCAGAACGGTAAATAACGCTGTGTTTCTCACATTCGGCCGTCACTGGTTAAGGCATCTCGTACTGAAGTGAGTTGTTCAGTAACTCTTGTGTAAAGTCATGACAGAGGACAGTGCTGACACAAACAGAAGCCTGAAGGATGGTTGTTGTTATTGTTTGCAGAGGAGTGTCGTGCAGCAACAGTAGTCAGTCACATAGATTTAAAAGAGACTCACAGCCAGTCTGGTAACAGGCTCTGTTTCTCAAGTCTGTTAAAGAAATGCTGGTCTGAAGGCAGGCCCTGATGTAGAGAATGGTGCAGAGGAAGTGACTGTTCCAGTCATTTTCACCATCAATCTCAACAGAGTAACAGACATCAGTACTGCATCAGGGCTCAGTTCCTTGGTCCTCCCTCGCTGCTCCTCTTGTAATTGAGAGTGGAGGTTTTTAAGGCACCCGGGAGTTCCGTCCATGTTGGTCAGAAGTTCTCACCAAACTAAAGACACAAAGGCAGCGTCACGGCCGAGGTCATAGCTGCTCACTGTGCTCCTGACCTTTCATCACTGTGTCATAGGACGGAGGCGGCTCCATGGTCCATGGAGGTGGGGTAGATGGCAGGGAAGGTTCCGGCTCTGGCCTGTGGCTGACAGAGTCCTCTGACATCTCCCTACGGATTCGATCCAACCTTCTGGAAAGAAAAATTATGTATAAAATTAGAGGAAGTAAAGTCAACACTTTCCATCACTCACCAAATTGTTTCTGATTCAAAACTGTTTAAAACCAACAGCATTAGCTTGTTACTTTTGGTGCTTGTTTTGGACACAAGATAGGAAATATCAGTTCCTGATATGGAACACTACACTGGTACTCTTTAAATAGCAGAAAAAGATGTAAGAATGAATGCAAACCTCTTCCCTACTCTGCTCTCCTCATACTGCTGTGTCCTTGATCTTCTTTGGATTGTAGGCTACACAGGTTTTTGGGGTTACATGGTGAGTTTCTAATTCACAGTATTAATTGTACGCATCTGTTCTAATGTGTTTGTTAGGTGCAGCTCGATGACAACCTCTGTAAAGGTCACTTCTTACCTATATGACTTAGCCGTAGCCATGCTTTTTGTTTGCTAATGTTTAGGTCTTAAATCGCATTGAGGCAGCAGGGTAGGGTGAGGTCAGGAGCTTACCTCAACTCCTTTTAACAACAGAGAAAAGTGTATGTCTATAGGGTTGGGTAGAGTTGTACTTATACTAATTTTACAATATATAATTAAGCATTTTGTCATTATGGTAAAAAGGGTGTCAAACAAATGTGCTTTTCTCTTAAAGTGTTTTTAGACAGCTGTTAAAGATCTAAAAAAAATGTTCAGTAGAATGCAATCAAAAGAAATTGTATTGTGGTCTAGTGTATGAAATGTATAAGGGCAGGAAGTTGAAGTGTGCAGTCTGAAGGAACGATGGGTGCAAGTGTATATTGGTGAAATATCAGGTTCTACCACTTTTTTATTTTTTTAGACAATATGTGTATGGTCATACCTATGTCATATTTAGTATGTGCAAAATGGTCCTCCTAAATATAATGCTACAGACAGTTTAAGCTAAAACAAACAAAAGGTCTTAGGAATATGGTTGTTTGTAAATGCTAATAAATTCTGTAAACATAAACGGTACCTTCTGAATCTTGACTGAGACTGTGCACGCCATGTGTCCGACTGCTGTTTTTCTCAGTGACCTGCTTCTATAATCAGTGCATAATCGGGAAATCTGCAGCTCAGCTTTTCATACCATTTTACCAGGATTAAACGAACCAAGGATTAAGGAACGATTAATGCATAGTCAACATTTTTTAACAATATTTTTTGTACTGTTCGTTAGTTGGTCACATCGACACCAATATCAGCTGTCAAGAACAAGACCAAGAAACAGGTCAGTCCTGTGGTTTACCCCAATTACTGTGTGACTCTCCACTGGCAGCTTTACAAAGGAGTTTCCCATAGTGACATCATCAGTCATGGCCCTTGCCATGGTTTCACAAGTAGGAGGTTGTTCTCCTGGAATTCGTCTCACTCACAGGATGTTACATCTTATGAATAAAATCCAGTTCAATTCCTGAAGTTCAAGAGACAATCAAAGAAGGCAATCTGACCTTATCTGCGTTGTAACAAATTAAATATCCCCGAGGCTAATCTTAGCATCAATCCTACTTTATTCCTACAGAGTTGTCTGACTGTTTTTTTTTTTAGTAATTATAAACAAACAGTGAAAATCACTGTTTAACTTTACCCCTGTGTTTTGGTGTGATGCAGGTTATGCTGCTCTGTGGACAAGTACCTTTGTATGGAAATAGCCTGCTGTGGGCTAAAACGCGTGCCGGTGCGTGGATGAAGCAGGAAGTGCCCAGGTACTGTCACCTGGAGGTTCTTGATGGTCATGCAAATTCCGCTGACCAGCAGGATGATCCCCGCAAGTCCCAGGAACAGCCCGAATACAAACACTGGGGCAGAATTATATGGCAGGCCCACACCCAGGACCATGATAACCCCAGCAGTAATTAGCAGAAATCCCAGGCCAAGCAGCAGCCCCCTGGGGACTGACATCTTCTCCAGGGAGTCCAGTTGGTTCACCTTCTCCAGCTGCAGCTGCTCTTCCACTTCAGCAACAGCCAGACTGTAGAGGAGAAAAGGTTCAAATACATTTCATTTTACTTCTGTTACTCATTAAAGCAGTGATTCCCAACCACTGTGCTGTTAGAGATCATCAGGTGTGCAGTGGGACATTATACAGTTTCACCTAATTGGTCTAAAACGTATTATTTTATTTCGAAATAATTTGCTTTTATTCGTCAACAAGACAGTGGCAGGAAGAAAAATAAAATATCATTCCAGTAGGTGGAAGCAGATGGCTGAAAAACTAAAAAAAAAAAGACTCAGAGCCTTTGAAGAAGATCTTTGTGGGTGTCTTTCTTCCATTTCTGCCAGTATGTCAGTGTTGTTTTCAACTAAACAGGACAGTGTCTAATAATGAGAGTAAATTGTGAGTAAACTGAAAAACTAGAAGAATTTTTGTTCTGCGGTTTGCAATGGGATTGGTCTCTATTTCCTGTCACTCAACACTACTCCTGCTGATAGCCTGCAGTACTGTTTTGAAACTCCAGTGCACAAGTTTCTATCACCAAATTCTCCTTTAGACCGGAGGTCCTGACTTTATTTTGATTTTTTTTTTTCCTGTGACGGATTAAATATAAAACAATGGAGGATCAACTTGGACTCAGACTGGGATCTAAAAACCCTAGAGAATTAGCTTGGAATGTTCTTCAGACTAAACTGAAACTTCAGGGACCTGACTTGATTCATACATTTCTTCTGTAACTCAGACGCAGGCTCACAACTTTAGGGAGCGGACGTTGACTTGACATAGATTTTCCTAGTATTTAAAACCAAGTCCAAGTGGTGACTCCACTTGGACTTGTTGCAAGTTCACTCTTCTGAGACTCACACTGTGTCCAAAAACTTGTTTTCTGACACAGTTGACACTATTTTTCCTCAGCAACATTCAGCCCTATGTTATAACAGCTGACTATAACACTGTATTTATTTGTCCTCATGGGGCCCAAACCAAGACACAACTAGGCGGAACCTAAGTTTAGAACTTGGCTGTAATGGGTTGACACTGTCTGGTGAGGGTTAAGTTCAGTGATGTGGCTTTGTTGGGTCTAACTCATGTTAAGATGACTTTTGGAGGAAACAGTACGCAGACAATGATCTCACTGATTAATTATGCCTGATCGGATCCATATCTGCCCCTCTGCCTACCTGGTACCAGTTAGCAGTGGTGTGCAGCTGTCCAGCAGAAGCGTGGCTTGAATTCTTCACCACCATCTCTCCTTCTCCTCCTCGTCAACTTTAGCTCTCCTCCTCATGATGCCCGTGTGTAGGAGGGTTCTCCTTAGCAAACTCCCGGGGAAAACGCTCTCTTCTCTCCGCTCCAGTCCGTGGATCCTGCGCCGCCGCCGCTCTGACTTTCTCATTAGCCTCCTATCGCTTTCTCTCCAAACAGGAGAGACATTTATATTCGGACTTTGACCGGAATTACGCACCGACAATCAGCAATATGTGGGGTTTGTGTCGCATGTGGGCCGGGCACAGTTCGGTTCTCATCTGGCCGCAGCAGCAGCAGCAGTAGATCTGAGCGATGTGAGGAAGTGAGTGTTTTTTTAAGAGGAAGGGTTTTCAGTGAGGAGGAGTGGAGCTCAGGGCGGGCGCACGGACCGACCATGAACACTGTCACCTTGCCTGTGTTTGGGCGAGCTGTTTACACACAGACGGAGAGAGAGAGAGCGTTATGGTCACACTTATCACTGTATCATACACAAAAACTTTTGGTTTGGTGGGTGTGCGTGTGCGCGAGCGCGTGTGTTTATATGCTTTAAATATTAAACTTATAGTGTGGCTCGTAGCACTAACTTCTGGGCAGAATTGATAGTAATAATAAAATATAATAGTTATTGTCATAGTAATGGTAAAAGAAATAGCATTACTGATAGTAATTTTAATAATTAATTATTATAATTAATAATTATGATAGTAATAGCAGTTACAATAGCGATAGTGTACTCGACTCTAATTGGTGCCAAAGCTTTATTAAGGACTAAAAAAAACAGTTATGGCAGTTACTGCACTTTTTTTTCTTTTTTTTTGTAAAAAAATGACTAATTTTTCAACATCCACATTAGCTTTGTCGTAGCCTTAATGGAGATTTAGTTATTTAATACAGATTGTATTTTATAAACAGTATTGTAACATCACCCAGTGGACCACTGTCAGTAGTTC